TGAGGAGGAGGGAAAGATAGAGAGGGAAAGGAGGGGCATACCTTCCCCTCCGTGCCCTCCCCAAAAGCTGCACTCTAATCTCGGATTACAAAAAAATTGTAAATGTCTTTTTTTTTTTTTTGCTCACACCTCAGACAGGAAATGCGCCCGAGGTTCCAGCGCTGCGGCATGTCACAAGAGAGTTTATCTGGTCTTAATTTGTATTCAACAGACGTCCAACGCAACCTTTATGCCCTTTTCGTCTAGTTCTAATTGGATTGGCGGGACGTGAGGGCAGCTCGTCACGTACACAAGTGCAGTTCTCGCCTTGCCGTCACTCTAAGAGTTCTGGGGCTTCAAACTCGTCAAGCAAGAAGTTGGAGCCGAAAGTTTGCGGAGCGCGCCGATTGGACATCGGCAAAAAAAGTGCCGAGTCATCGTCGTGGTGGGCCTCCCCCCCCCCCCCCCCCCCCCCCAAATTAGTGCAATCCGTCAACTTCAGCCCCAACTTTGGGTTGGACGATTTTAGAGGCCTTGGAACCCTAAACTCGTGAAACACAAAGTTGGGGCTGAAGTTGACGGATTGCGCCGATTGGGGGGGGGGGGGGGGGGGGGAGGGCACCACGACGATGACTGGGCACTTTTTTAGCCGACGTCCGATTGGCGCGATCCGCGAACGTTCTTTTTCAACTTCGTGTTTGACGAGTTTAGAGACCCAGGAGTGCTTACATTTCTTCAAAAACCCTGAGAGCTAATCGCTGCGATGTACGCAGGGAGTCGGGTGAGCGATGAGGTCAGAGATTTTATATTGGCTCCAAGAACACCTGGCTCTGTGGCCCTGATTGTGACGTTTCAGCGTGCTCAGTGCCACGGCGCAGACTGTATATTTAGGTCTAAGCATATTTTCAAACTCGTCATTTGATAAGCTCCTCCGTTTATTTCAGCGGTTGGCTTTCCCGAGTGCTTTGCGGCAAATTCAAGAAGAGTGGTTATTTGGTCGAGTTGGTTTGACATCTTATGCAATCTTGTGCGCAGCAAGGACGAGGACAGATGGGGAGAACAGGGCACAACGAGGCGCCTAGTTGTGTCCTGTTCTCAACTTTTTTCCTCGCCCGTGCTGCCCACAAGATTGCATAATATTGGCGGGAAAGTAGACACTTCATATGTCTCACAGTGGGATCTCGGGTGTCACAAAATTGAACGGTTTTTGTCCTTGTTCGTTTTGTTAGTTTCCGCTTTGAATAGAATGCGCGAGGGCCGAGGACACAAGCTCAAAGAAAACAAAAAAACGAAAAAAAGGCGAGAAAAAGTTGGAAGCCGCGCGCGATGTGGTTGTTCGAACCCGGAGCAAGGCTTCGTCGGTGGCACTCAATTACTCAATTTCTAAGTGAGAGTTAGAAATAAAAGAAATAAACTGTTTCTCTCTACCTGCATCACCAGACGGTATAACAGGGTTAATCATATTTGAAATGAAAAATGAGGGCCGTAATTGGCCATACTTTCTTTAGTTCTTAAAGCCAATTAAAAATAAAAACAGGGAGGCAGCTCCAACTTGGCATTGGAACGAACTTGGAAGAATTATGCGAACATTTGTGATTTATTTATTTATTTCAGGTTACCCCGCAGCACCCGAAGGCATTATTGGGGGGGGGGGGGGTACACAGTTGTGAAGGTAAAATACACTCGTGCATATGTACCAAAAGACAAGAAAAACGCAAGCACGCAGGAAAACACACTCAAACAGAAGAAAGCTCAGAATATGATAAAAGAAACATCGGTTACTGATATTCCAAGTACGTGTCGAATAAAAACATCAGCCGAGAAAAATTGTTGAGGAACATCAGCTGAGGATTATTATTATTTTTTGTTTTTCCCTTTGGTAGTCAGTTTTCATTCCAACAGTTGGTGGGACTGTTGGAACGCTGTGCAAGGCTTCAGTTTTGTGGGGAATCGGTCCCGAGCTAATCTTCAACGATGTTTGTGTGCTTGTGAATGAGCGCCTTTTGGCACTGAGGGCACCCAAGCCGCCATGACATCTCTACCCCGACTGACCGCGCAAGAGACCGGGCCACCACCAACATCTTGGGACCCTGATTGGACTCTCTTCCTTCACTGAACTTTATGCCTACTTTGATGGAACTTCTGTTTCTGCTGTTATGCTTTCAGTGCTAGTGTGTTTATCGTGTCACGGTTACGAAGAGTGGAACACGCGCATGATATGTTCTATTAGTTTTTTTTTGTCACGAATTATGTGTGCGCTTTGTGAACATTTTCTTTACTTTTGAATTAGGTTGCTATTAAATAGTATTCGTAACGCCAGGCACAACTCGCTCTCATTTCCTACCGCCTCTCAGGAAGTCCATCGCCAAGGTTTGGCCCCAAACACCTGGACAGCGATCCAATTCAAATTGCAAGTTTGTTTGTTTATGGAATCTTTTCCACCCGAATATGTGACAAACTGGCGTCCGCGGTTAACCGAAACCTCTGCAGGTGTTTTCTTCACGTTGTCGTATTCGGCAGACTTTTCAGGGTTAACCTAAATAAAACCCCAAGTGTCTCCCCTGCCAAACACACACTAAGTGCCGTGGCCCAGTGTTCGCGGAGTCACTTCTGTCCGCTCGCTTGCCTCTCAAAGCGCATCAGGTAGGCGTCGAGGTCGTCTTTCTTCTTGTCGAAACTGGACAGCCAACGACGAGAACACTTCCATGAAGTTTTTTTGGTTCCGTCGGCGGGACTCACGTTTACAGGGATTGGGACCACGTTTAACAATTCCTATCGCCTCTCAAGATGTCCATCGCCAAGCTGTGGCCCTATCACCTGGGCAGCTGTCCCCTTCAAATCACAAGTTTGTTTGATTGGGGGATTTTTTCCACCCGAACCCGTGACATCGGGATTTTTTCACGAATAGGCACACTACATATTATGTCCTTTGAAAAAGTTTAAATTTTCCCGCTCTCTACAGTTAACCCCTCACTGTCATTTCTTTTCAAACAGCGTGCGAATGTGTCCTGACTATCGTCACCGATAGGACGAAACCGGCAGAAAGCAGCTTTCAGGGGACCGCGCTTTGCTCGACGACTGACTGCCAGCCTTTTTTACTTACTCCACAGTGAGTACGAGTTAGTCTGACAAATATCGGTCCCACGATATTCACCACAAGGTGAAACTCACGACCGTCATAGAGCGCAATAATTAAAAGCAGAAGAACACGGCATTCACGTGGTTGTTGAATGCGATGATTGTAGTGCGCAGTGCTACAACTTACTCATCTTGAACACAAAGTTGAACAAAGCAAAATGTGGTGGAACATGGGTGTGTTATTTCTGCGTTGTTTGTACGGTTTAAAACGAACATATGTCCAGTCCACACATTTTACTATTACTGTGTGCTTCTTTCCCTTTATGATGTAGTGGTTTAAAGTGTGTGCGCTGATCTTAATACTATTTGTGCGACAACCACATGAGGCCAAATTCTATCAAAGAAAGGCATATGTAGTATCGTTAACATTGGGGCAAGTTGGTTTTGCATTGTGAAATAAAAAAGGAAGCGCCAAAACGGACGAAGTACAAGAAAAAGCACACAGACAGAGTGCTGTCTGTGCACATTTACCCGTCCTTCGTCCGTTCGTCACTAAGTGCATACAGACAGCGCTCTGTCTGTGTGCATTTACTCAACCTTCCTCCGGCTTCGCGCTGGTTTTAATTTGATGGCTTATGCAAGCGAAACGGTGCGTGGCCAAGGGAGCTGGGCGGAGTAGGTGCAGTATCCAATTTTATTTTTACTTCTTTTTATAGCAGGCTACGGGATTTTCTTGTTAGCGGAGTGAGACATTCAGTCTAGATAGACAACGCTGTTGTGATTAGAATAGCTCTAGTGAATCTCACAGAGTAAAATGAGCTGGAAAAATTAACGCCTAAACTTTATAATTGCGAACATTTACTGAATGTGCATTGGGGTTCGTGCGTTTCAGCTGAAGAAAATTTTACGATACTATACTAAATCGGCTGACGAAAAATCAAAAATGAATATTTTGGGGAGTTTCAGTATTTCTTTAAGCTGTCAGCGAGTGTACCGGGTGTTTCAGCTTAGACTTCCGGTATGCGCGCGCCTATGGCTCGTGCTCAAAGGGAACATACGAAGAAATTGCCAGAAACAAAATGCCGCCATAGCACCGTCAAAGAATAGCCTACTCTGTACTCACAAATCCTGGCAGTTCGACGACGGAGCCATAGAGTGCCAGGTCTAAGATTTGGAGGGTAAGGATCGGGAAGCACAGAGCATCAACGAACCATTTCTCGGGGAACCTGGACGTCAGCGCATAGATGCTGCAACAGCGAGGACCCGAAACACACTTTTGGGTCCTCGCGTCTCGCCGCAGCGGGGCGCAAGTCACGTGGCTCTTCCCTGATCCGTTGTCTGCCGCTCCACCTGTTCCATTTTGGCGGCCGCTTGTCGTGGCGATTTGCCAGGCTTTTTCAGTATCTAGGAGGCTATGGTCAAAGTCAAATGATCTGGCCGGGATGCGATCGTTGATTCGCTCCGGAACAATAGAAAAAGTAAAAATCCTCGCGATCAAAATAGCCAGATATGACCACCCTAAGGGAAGCGAGGATTAAATTCACTAACTCAGCGACCCTTCAGAGTAACCACATTTTAGTTATTTTGGTTCTTAAAAGTTTTGTTGTCACTTATTTGAAGAGTGATTTGAAAGCGCAGAGAACAATTTTTTCGTGCTCCGGAGATAATAAAACAGTCTGCGAGAAAGAAAGACCGCAGCATCTAAGCTTCCAGGCACAGCATCTAAAATTGTGGAAGTCGCGTGTTCGAAACGTAACGATGGCCAGTAGCGACCGCTCTGCTCTTAGCGCCAAAATGGCGGCGTACATCTTTAAGAGAATCAGGGAAGGTAGTGCCAATACTCTAAGCGTACCTTTCTTATTGGCACTAATGCCTATGAAGCAACCCTATGAAGGTGGATTTTCAAGCATTTCGTTTGAGCGAGTATTAAAGTACCGACGCACCCGACATAGCAGCCAAGGTTGCTCGCAGACTGAGTGGCCAGGAAGCCTCCTCGTGCGTGACGTCGAACCTCTGGAGGATTCCGATGTAGATCACGCCCATGCACTGGGAAGTGAGCGTAGCCATAAAGATTGCCCAACAGCAGAATCCCAGAATGATCCAGCTTCGGGGGGAGTCCTGGCCGTGCAGCGGATCCTGTTTGAGGCGCTCCATTGTCGCTCTAGTTGGCTGTAATGATGTCTGTAGTAAGAATTGAATTTGCGTCGGAAGCCACCCAACATCCAAATGATTGCCATCCACATCCATTGATGATTTGCTGGCATTCTTCATGCACCTTGATATTTTATGGAGCCTATACATGCTAGTTTGCAAGCGCATATTTTACAAGATGTAAATCAGAGATTGAAGACATTCAATTTATTCGCGCGATAAATGCAGAATCGGTAGATAATTAAATTATTTGAATAACAGTTTTCTGTTATTTAAAATGTAAGCGTTGTTTATGCACGTTAAAAGGAGTTAATCTATTTGTTCCCCATATGTACGTTAATAACGAGCTGACTTATTTATGAGAATCAAGCATGGTTGGGTAATTCTTGAGTTTTGTTTTCAAAAAGGACGAGTTATTCAAACGTTTCAATATCTGTATTTTTTCGTTGAGTAATTTATTCTACAAGTCACTTTACTTTAAAAAGATTAATGTATAGTTTTTAACAGGCATCATTACATCTTCACATATCTCTGAGCCTACGACGAAACAATTTTATTTACGTAAAAACAGCCGGAAGCTTCATAAAACAGTTTTTTTCCAAGTGTGGAGGCATGTATTGTAATCAAATTAAAATATATTTAATATCAACGTTTTTTTCTTTTTAATACAGTTCAAAACTAATTTACACAATTATTTTGTTAAAATATTTTCTGGTGCTAATTCTCTTCAATGAGTGCTAAATAACAGAAAAGTTGTAACCATATCCATATCAACTTCTCTGTAAAAAAATTACATATTGTCGGCTAGGATTGCAACTTTGATATCTGGCTAACGGATACGCGAATTCGCCTCTTAAAGCCGTGCCATTTGCGCGTAATTAAATGTTTAAAATTCCAGGTCAAAATAAATTTACTAGATAATTTAATCACAAGATAGACATAGCAGAAATTTCGGCTACTTACCTTGGCTTCTCGGAAGTTCTATCGGAAGGTATGGTTTCCCGAAAACGCCGGCAGGAGTAAAGACGAAACTGGAAAGTGCCAGGTGAAACGACGCAATAAAGTAGGAACCGTCAACATATTTCTTTCGCACGCTTTTCCTTTTACCGGACAAGCCAAGTAGCCAGGCTAAGGCTATCATATCCGACGAACATAGTATGTCCCCCTTTTGGTTGTTACGAGTTCTATCTGTAGGTCTTACCAAATAAGCGTCCCCAAGAGTAGTTTGCTGCTTCTCCACAGAATTTCAACTGCCGTGTGACAAGCGTTTCATGTGTTTCTAAATGCGCGAGAGGTTTAGCATATATTAACTCAACGACGAAAGAGTTAACAGCCGAGCTTCCTCTCTTGCTCTCACTCTCTCCATCATGCCTAAGTGACGTCTCAAATGTTTCGCCATAACTTTCCACCTGCTCTACACTGCTTACTTCACGCTATCTGGCCAAACAAACCTCAGAGGATGTTTTTTGTAAATGTATTTAGTGTTCCCGCGATTTACAAGCTGGCGTACGAGTACACTAATGGATATTAAAAAAAACAAAAACAGCCACACTCCAATTATGCCTCAAAAGAGGCTCGAAAGGTCTCATTATAATTACCTGTGGTCTATTTGTGAGTTTACGTTTTTGAAAACAAACGTATTTTGTTTCTTGTAAAACTTACTGGAAAAGCTATAGTAACTCCTACGCTTTTGGCTTCAACACAAAACGGAAAGGCAGGGTAAGTATTGCCAATTTGTTTTTTATATTTCTAAATAACATGAGTGACATACAACTCATGAAACTCAATAAGGCGCATAGGCAAACACTCGAATATTTGAGGTTTCCTATTCAAGCTTCAAAATTGTGTATACATGTACTTCCCTTCCAAATTACCTTATTATAAGTCGTAAATATACAACTCCGTAATTTAGCTACTACTTTTAGTACATTCGCGTATACTTCATCCAAATCTGTTAATGGTGTAACAGCCTACCGAGTCAGGGAATGTACTCTTAATTGAAATCAGGCTTCACGAGTCTCTTTTACAATTCAACAATCTTCTCGTTCATCTTTTATGTTCTAATACGAATTCTGGACATTCCGTTTCACACTGTGCCAAAAAACAAAAACAAAAACAAAAAAAAACAGAGCTAATTTAAAATAAATTAGTATGCTACACTTATTAGGGAAAGTGGCTAATGTAGAGAATATTATTTCATCACCACATAGATAGTAAAAAAAAAAAAAGCAGCAGTGTTTAAACAGCGTTAATAGAACAGAAACGCAATCTGTATTTTCTCTTGCTCCTCGACAATACCTCTTCTACGTTGACAGGTTTTGCGTAGTTTGAACGGCTGGATGCACCGCAGCCTCGCGGATTTCACTCTGGTATGAGTGGCGCAACCTTACGTCATGGACTACTCAGCTAGGGGCTACCGTAAGAAATAAGCCTGTTTTTTTATGATAGCTTCGGACCGACATCACGAAAATGTGTCCAAAAACAGTGTGGGACATGACTCGCGTATATCAGTGAGGACACACCGCGTCACACGTTCGGCGCATTACACTGGTACACCGGTTTGGTCTCGGTGGTCTCGACTAAAGTTACTTGACTTTAGTCTTGACGAGTCAATTTCTTTAATCTCGACGAGCGCCCGGATGTTGCAACGCACATGCATTCTCGGACGCGGGCGGTTGCACCGCTTGGAGAGGTTATGACGCTCTATGCACATTGTCAAATACTAATGGATGGAGTGAAATGTAACTTTTGTCGAGTTTTCGACTTCACTATACATACCCTTTCAGTCACATCGTAAATGCAGGGTGGCAAAAAAACGAAACAATTAGAGGAGATTCACTTTCTTCCTTTGTCGACGTAAAAAATGGGAAAAGCCACAATAAAAAATGCGACCTACAAATTGGCGTTCTTTTTGGAATTTTCGAAAGGCGTTTAAAATGCATGGCATTTAGAACCTCTTCACTCGCATCTGCCGGAAACCGCGGTCTGTCACGCCCGTTTATTAAACCACGCACCGAACGGAAGCTCCGTGAACTGGCGATTCAAATGCCGGTCAGCAGGTGCGTAATGGAAACTGTACTCCTGTCATAGCTGAGGTCGGCGCTCGCATTGTGCTGCTGCGTCACTTGCCCATAACATGTCACCTTGCTTCGCCCGGTGTTGTCGCTCCTTCACCTGGGCCAGACGGAATTCATTACAAAATGCTTCAGCACCTCCATCCATCAACGCTCGAGCTTGTTTTATATTTGTTCTACCGAAGTTGGCTTGAAGGATGCTTCCCCTCATCTTGAAAGGTGGCTATCATTATTCCCCTGCTGAAGCCAGGAAAGGATCTTACCTGTATGTCTAGCTTTAGGCTTATAGTGCTCACAAGTCGTTTTTCAAAGAAACTAGAAAGAATAACAAATAAAAGTCTTATATTTTATTTTGAAAGAAACAAGCTCCTTGACCGTTACCAGTGTGGTTTTCGCTCAGCGCGATCGACGGTAGACCATCATGTCCGCTTTGAGACTGCTGTGCGAGAGGCCTTTGTAAATAGACAGCTTTGTTTCTTTGTCTTTTTTTGCCTCGGAAAAGGTATTTGATACGACCTGGCGCTATGGCATACTGAAGGATTTGTTCAACATTGGTCTTCGGAGCAGAATGCTAGGTGCCGTCCATAGTTACCTCCGGGACCGAACTTTTCGTGTGAAGCTTGCCCTCACAAAAACTGGTCTCAACATTCTTCTTAATTTTTTTAGACTTCTTATTGACTTTCCGCGATCCTACTGAATTCCTTTATAAACGCACTTTGTTTTGACTATTGTCCAAAAACTTTCAAAAGAAAAAAAATATTGAATTTTTTGTAGACTTATTTATAAAAAAAATAAAAAGAACTTGTAAAGACGTTTTTCTGTAGGTTATTTTCTAAAAAAATTCAAAAGGAAAAACAATAGATTTTGTTTTGTAGACTTATTTATAAAAAAAAAATTTAAAAAAAGTTGTAACGACGTTTTTTTGTAGGTTATTTTCCAAAAAATAAAAACACAACTTATTGACATTATTTCTTTATATTATTTTATAAAAAGAGACATTTTTTATTATTTTGTTTTGTTTGCGGTCGTGTGCGGGGTCCGATATGACAGATGTTTTTTGTTTTTTTACTTTTTATTGAAAATGTGGTGACTTCTTGTTCACTCTGATAACTTTCTTTTGACTGACTTCCTGTTGACATGGTCAACAGAAAGTTTGTAGATTTTGTGTTGAAACTTTTTTTTATTTTCTTCTGCCTGAGTCAAAAGAAAAGCTATTGACTTTCTATTAACTCTACGTTGGATCTTTTTCTGTTGACTTCCTTTTGAAAGTGTTATCAGAAATACTGCAGACGTTCTGTTTACTTCGTGTTTAAATTATTCAGTTGATTTTCTGTAGCTAGTGTCAATAGAAAAGCTACAGACTTTCTGTTGACTTTTTATTGAACATAATAAATCTTGACTAAATGTCAAAATCACTAAGTTTCTCAATAGTCTCTGACAAGTTGAGAACCGTAGGGAGGAGATCCGTTCTCCTGCCTCCAGCGCTAGCCTTCTATCCTTGACAACTTTTCGACGTCTCGTACCCCTCGAGGTCGACAGCGCAGTCAAAGCTCGACGGAAGGCATGGGGCTCGTGCTGGAGGCCAGGCGTTTGACAAACAGGCCCAGCCGTTCTCACTTTGTAAATGACTATGGTGGCATTATTGACCCTATTCAACTAGTAAAGAGGAGCTAAATAACAATTTTAAAGTGGAGCAACCGCCTTGACTGACTTCGTCCTGAGTGGTGCTATGCAGAAAAGCGATAACATTTGTTCTATGAGCCGTTTGTGTGGATGCTGTTTTAGCAACTACACGAATTTATTATTAGTTGTACCAATGCTTTTTAGTAAGAGATAGAGTCCACGAACTTCGAAACACTGTCTTCCCTTTGACAGACTTTCGAGAAGGAGACCGGAGACTTGGAAACTTAGTAAGTGCTGAGGTGGTCA